CGGAAGGATCAAATTCTATGTGAGAAGTAGTAGCAACTGAAATGGCAGATGTGGTGAAAGCAGTCACCGGGGGAGCATCAGCAGCAACTTCAGGTAAGGGAACTCGAGGATAATTGGGGACTAACGTTGGAAAATAGGTAAGGGGAAACTCCTCAGAAACGGGTTCAAAGGCTTCCTCATTTCCGAAGCCACGAGTAAATAATTGTTTCAACAGAAGCAGGGTGGGATCATTCACTTCTTCATCAGAGATCACTAACATGGCACTTTCTGGATCATCCAAAGGTCTAGAGGGAACTAAGCTTGATGGAGGGGTAACTTCATAATCAGAAATAACGCATCTCCTGACTCGGGGATTACGAACTAAAGAAACCTCTTCTAGTTCTTCGTCATCCTCAGAGCCACGGGATCCATCAACCTTTGTTTTTAAAGAAGAGCTCAAAATTCTTTCTTTAGCAAGACTCACGGTAAGTCTTGTGGATGAAACAGAAATAGGACTGATGCCATGAATAGGATATCCTAGCAAAGGAAAAAAGGCATGGTAAGAAACTCTTAAGTTAGAAAAAGAGAGAAAGAAAAAGACTACGCGAGAAAAGTACCGTGTGTCTTAACTTTCCAGTTGAATCTCTGTGAGAGATATTTCCAAGATCTTCTCTCCATAGGGGCAACAGATTGTAACTTCTCTACCCAAGCACGAAAGTTAGGAATCTCTTCAAAAACTTCCATGGTTGCTGAAAGAGTAGGCACGATAATACATGAGTATCTTTTTTGAGAAAGGAAAAAGACAAGGTAAAAGTACTTACGTGCAGAATTCTATTTTTTTGGAAAAGGCATCTTTTGTTCACCCACTAGAGTACTAGTGAGAGCAGCAACGAAGCGGTCATATCAGCCACGGTCTCTATCATCTTCAGGGCGAATTAATACTCTATTACTGCTGGCTATAAGGGACTTCACAAAATAATTTAGGGAGTAAAGATGAAGCAGATGACAGAAAGTAAAAGGCATAGAAGCCAAGTTCGACAAATAACTGAGGCATGTAATAGCTCTCTAAACAATAGGACCAATATGTCCTAAGCACATATTGAAGTAATGGAAGAGTTCAATGATCGCTGGATCAATAGGAGGTTTAAAGCCTAGGGTAAAGGGATATGTGTATACGAAGGAATAACCAGTCTGATATAAAGTTATTCTCTGGTTGGCACCTGGAACTAAAATTGGGAAGTCAGGTTTCCAATAACATTCTCTTCGAACGAGAGCGAGAAGACCATTAGTAATCAAAGTTGGGTAACGGTCAACACGACTAAGGGAAGCCGTGGAAGAAACTTGACTCTTCATAGATTCGCAATCAGTTACAAAGGAAAACTCTCGAGGGACAATTTCATTGACAGTGGGTTCACATAAAGCTTCAGTTGAATCTTTATCTCTAGAAGAAGAACTTGGGGTTATAGGATCCTAGGTCTAGAAGAAGACGGATTGACAGCACTACTTTGAGAGAGGGAACCACGGTTAGAAATAGAACCAAGGCTACGCAGCCTACCACCCCTTCTACTTCTAGTAGGGACATTAGAAGAAACAAACTCGTCGACAATTACAATTTTGTAAGGATCAGGAGAAGACATGATTATCTAAAGAAGAATAAGGAAAAAATACAGCAAAGTGTAAGACAAGAGGACGAAGGAGGAAAGGCTTCAGGAAGTCAAAAAGGGGTGAGGTATTTATAAGAAGACACGACTATTATGGTCATTATAAAGCGCCATAATGGAACCGTCACTTCGTGACTGATGTGACTGCAGAAAAGCCCTAAAAAGCGTTGAGGAACTGAAGAAACAATTAGCAAAAGCCACGTGGCATGATCATTAAATGGAAGTGATATGTATCGCATCGGTTTAGAAGGAGGTATGATTGCATTTGAAAAAACGACGTGTCACGACCCCAGTTCGCCCTCCGTGAACCATCGTGACAGCACCTAGTCTCTACGACTAGGTAAGCCCAAATTGCGAAAGAAAAACCAATATTTTGCGGAAGTAAAACAATTTAAAACAGAAATAAGGTAATAATAGTGTTTAAATGAGCCGCTCGTCATACACCATATTTAAATCTCAAAACCCATACCTAAATCCAAGACCCGGAAACCCACGAATCACAAGCTAAGAGATACATAAGAAGCCCTAACTCCAGAAATGTCTAATAAAGGGAAATATTGAAGGGCTACATTATTACACTAAGATAGAGAGGGACTCCTCAGTCTGCGGACGCGGCAGATATACCTTGAAGTCTCTACAGAGCGCCTCGCCTCAAGGATAGTGAGTCTGAGCAGAGGTACATGGATCTGCACATGAAAAATATGCACAGAAAGGGCATGAGTACACCACAGCGGTACTCAGTAAGTGTCAAGCCTAACCTCGGTCGGGTAGTGACAAGGAAGGTCAGGGCCCTACTGAGATAAAATAAAGAATATAAGGCATGACAATATAAATAAGCAATACAGTTGAAAACTAACGATAATAATTTAATACAGGAAAACAAGGAATTCAATAACTGAAATAGAGGCAAAACAATCACAAGGAAATAACCGGGGATCTCTCAGTATCCCAAGGATCTCTTAGTAACCTCAATATATGCCAGGGATCTCTTGGTATCCCGAGGATCTCTCGGTATCCTCAATCTATACTAGGGATCTCTTGGTATCCCGAGGATCTCTCGGTATCCTCAATATATGCTAGGGATCTCTTGGTATCCGGAGGATCTCTCGGTATCATCAATATATGCTAGGGATCTCTTGGTATCCTCAATGTATGATAGGGATCTCTTGGTATCTCGAGGATCTCTTGGTATCCTCAATGTATGATAGGGATCTCATGATCTCTTGGTATCCTCAATGTATGATAGGGATCTCTTGGTATCCCGCACTTCAGCTCAAATCGTAAATGCGTACAGGGGATCTCCCAGGATGCCGCCCCGTATTCCCAAAGTAAAACACACAACAATGGTACAAGGAATACTCAAATAAACTCAACTTCATAACAAGGTAACACAGACAATTTAATCTAGCATGCTTCACGTAATACAAATAAGGAAGTTAAAGCAAATAAAGCAATTAAATCAATTCGACATGTTTCTCTAACTAACAACAGGTTTAAAAGTGCAAGTAGAATAAATATAGAAAGGGAAAACACAATTAAAGTTACTTAATGAAAACCGGATTTTCAATAATTAGCACAAGTATGCACTCGTCACCTCACGTACAAGGCATTTCAATTATCACAATACCATTCCTAAGGGAAAAGTCCCCCACACAAGGTTAGACAAGCCACTTACCTCAAACCGGCTCAAAATCAACCTGAGACCACGTTCTTGGCACGAGTACTCGACTCCAAATGGCCCAAATCTATTCAATTCAATTTTATAATGTAAATAACACTTCAAGTAACAGATTTTGCAATTAAATTCTAAGCTAATACGCGAAATTAGGTAAATAACCAAAATGCCCCTCGGGCCCACATCTCGGAATCAGGTAAAATTTACATTTTCAGAATTTTCATACCCTCACGAGTCTAACCATACCAAAATTATCCAATTCCGATACCATTTGGTCCTTCAAATCATCATTTTACATTTTTGAAAGATTTCACAATTTTCTTCCCAAATTCCATCCCAATTCATGAATTAATTGATGAATTCAATGATAAATTCATGTACTCTAGCCAAATCCGAGTTAGAATCACTTACCCCAATGAATTTCTTGAAAAACCTTCGAAAAATTGCCAAAAACCGAGCTCTCAAGGTCAAAATATGAAATAAAACCCTAAACCTCGTATTTGTAGTGCACCTCCCGGATTTCCACCACTGCTGACCGCACAAAAACCACCGCTGACCACACAAAAACCATTGTTGTCCGCGGTGGATTTGACTGCAGTGACAGACTTTAGTATTTTGGCCATAACTTTCTCTACAGATGTCCAAATTGTGATTGCTTCACCTTTCTGGAAATTAGACACGAAGGGCTACAACTTTCGTTTTTAAATCATCTCAAAGTTCCTTGTAAATCAAACGATATAAGCTTACGAAGTCAGACTAGTGAAACTATTCTCACCGCGGACCGCATTGGATTTTGTGCGGCCGCAAAGCCCCCACCGCGGCAGCACAAAATCCTGTGCGGACCGCACTGGTGGGTTCAGAGGTCTGTAACTCCTAAAACATCCCGGAACCTGCCCGGAACTCACCCGAGCCCCCGGTACTTCAAACCAAATGTACCAACACATCCCATAACATCATTCAAACTTGTTCAAAACTTCGGAACGCTCACAACAACATCAAATCACCAATTTAACATAGGATTCGAGCCTAAGAACTCCAAGAACTCTTAAATTATGCTTTCGATCAAAAGTTTATCAAATCTCGTCCAAATGACCTGAAATTTTGCAAGCACGTCACATTCAACACTACGGAGCTACTCCAACTTTCAGAATTCCATTCTGACCCGTAGATCAAAATCTCACAATCGGATCGGAAACTTCAAAAATTCGACTTTCAGCATTTCAAGCCTAAATTAGCTACGGACCTCCAAAACACAATCCGATCATGTCCCTAAGTCCGAAATCACCCAACAGAGCTAACGGAACCATCGGATTTCCATTCTGAGGCTGTCTTCACACTATTCCAACTACGATCACCTTTCCAAGCTCTTATTTAGGGACTAAGTGTCCCAAAACTCTCCGAAACTCAAAACGGAACATCCCGGCAAATTAAAATAGCAGAAATAAACTCAGGAAAAGCAGTTAATAGGGGATCGGGGCATTAATTCTTAAGACGACCGGTCGGGTCGTCACATGGCGGCAGGGAATTTCCGCCATAAAAACTTTCCACTTTTTCGAATATTCAGTAAAGTGGGGGGACTATCTGTCTTGGTGGTGTAAAAGTGTTACACGTGGAATATTGGAATGCTGACATGGCATGACACATAGAATAATGATATGACAACAAGTGGTTTTCTTAATTGATAGAGAAGAGAAGGCAAGGGAAGAAATACCCACGAGACGGTACGGAAAAGAGAACCAGGCCTATTACTTGGCAAAGAATAAATGAGGACAGAATGAATAAAGAGTAAAAAGAGGGAAAGGAACATGAACTGGAAGTAAATAAGGAAGAGGAATCGGAACAGATATGAGGCATTTATAGCAACAAATACGTCAGTTATGGATATCCGAGATAATGAGCAATTAATATCATTAATGCCAATAATCAACCTAAATTATGTGGAAAAAAATTGTTACTATTGTATATTCCTATATAAGGACACTTAATTCTATTTGTTGGGACAGATTGGAGGCAATATTGAAATATGTTCTTTACTTTTCTGTTTTCTCGAAATTCTCTACCTTGACTTTGCAATTTATCTATCAATTATTTCCTAAGTTATTTTTATTAATTTCCTTTGATATCATTGTGAAAGTGAAGTATAATTTGGTTATTAGTAACCCGTTTTCTTCTAAAATTAGATTTTGGCCAAAAGTCTTATTTTTGGTTAAACAACCTTAATGAACTAAAATAAATGTGAGGCTAAATAGTAGGAAATATAGTAATCTTTGTTCAAGGTTTAAATTAGTTTACAGGCAGTGGGGGTGATTCGGGTTAACATAAAAGAAGGTTCGGGATTCACAAGGCATATTGGTTACGCCTGATAACTACAAATTAAAATGATTTGAGCTTAAGATGATTTTTGTTATTTCTTTATTTGCTTTCTTATTAATTTGATTGCTAGGAGCATGCCTTAGGCCGACTACACCTGGGTAGGCAATTTTTAGAATTTTCCATTTCTTATGAGGTTAGAGGTTGTCCCTTAGTTTATTATTTATCTGGGAAATGCCCCGAAGGCTTGTAAATATTTTATCAGGAGAATACCCCAAAGCACATGTAAATGAAGGCCAAAGACGGGATGACGTGAGGAAGCATAGAATAGAACTTCAGTATTTTATTTTTTTATTTCTTCTTTTGTTTTCTTTTTATTTAGGTGGGGACAACCTCGAACCTCTTTTATGCTTGTTTTTCTTTTTTGTGTGTTTTACCTTAATTAGAATATTCTCAAAAGCCGACTAGATCAAATAAGCAATAGTACTAGTTACGGAATTCGGAGCATGTCTAACACTTTCTCCCCGAGTCCCCCTTAATCAGAATCTTTGGTGCAGTCAGTTTGGAGTCAAACGTGTTTTGAAATAAAATTATGTCTAAACGGTGGCCTGAAACACTGAAATAAAATGTTAGGTGGGGACTCTGAACACTCTTTTAAAATACAATTTTGTCACTTTTCATAATTGAAACCCTTTCGAGCTTTTAAAATCGCTTTTATCTATTTAAAGGAGTTAATAAGGTGAAAAAAGGGTGTGACAGCTTACATTAAATCCCCGAACCATAAAAAACCCACATCTTTCTTCAAACCCTATTCCTAGGACTTGAGAATCTAGCCGCCACCACCTAGCTGCAAAAAAAAAAGAGCGAAGCAGGGGTTTTTTTTGGGGGGGGGGAGGGGAGAATCACGCACGAACAAGGAGGAGAACAGATGAGAAAGGGATATAGGTAAGAGTAGAAGGGAAAGCAACACGCACAAAGCTGCAAAAGAAAACAAGAGCATATTCCTCTCCTTCTCCGACCATACTCATATTCTTTCACTCTTTCCCTTTTACTTCAGCTTGCCAGTGAATTTTTCTCTTCAGAAATCGTTTGGTTGCTGCTACTGCTGCACAGCCACCAGAAGCTCTAACAAACTCCACCAACCCATTCAAGTTTCAAAAACCCTTACAAAAAGATTTGAGCGACAAAGAGGTATCAGGATTGTTCGTTTCGGTGCTCGAGTTTTTTCCGGTTCCGGCTCTTGTTCGTACCACTATTATTGTAACTAAATGGTGTCACACCTTGAAGTCCATTCTTCTTAAATACTTTGCCTTGAATTACATTAATTAGGCGTTAGTTTTATTGAGTCACCCATGATTTATTACTGATTAGCTAGAGTACATTGATATGATATAATTATTTGAGTTACCGATTGAATTTCTTTGGGTTGGATATACCGGGATTATCAGCTAATGGGTTGCAGATGATGCCTTAATGAACTAAAATAAATTTGAGGCTAAATAGTAGGAAATAGAGTAATCTTTGTTCATGGGTTAAATTGGTTTGTGGGCAGTGGGGGTGATTGGGGTTAACATAAAAGAAGGTTTGGGATTCACAAGACATATTGGTTACGCCTGGTAACTACAAATTAAAATAATTTGAGCTTAAGATGATTGTTGTTATTTCTTTATTTGCTTTCTTATTAATTTGATCGCTAGGAGCATACCTTAGGCCGACCACACCTGGGTAGGCAATCTTTAGAATTTTCCGTTTCTTATGAGGTTAGAGGTTGTCCCTCAGTTTATTATTTATCCGGGGGAATGCCCCGAAAGCTTGTAAACATTTTACTAGGGGAATGCCCCAAAGTACATGTAAATGAAGCCCAAGACGGTATGATGTGAAGAATCATAGAATAGAACTTTATTCATTTTTTTATTTTTTATTTCTTCTTTTGTTTTCTTTTTATTTAGGTGAGGATAACCTAGAACCTCCTTTGTGCTTGTTTTTTCTTTTTGTGTGTTTACCTTAATTAAAATATTCTCAAAAGCCGAGTAGATCAAATATGCAACCGTACTATTTACGAGACTCGAGGAATGCCTAACACCTTCTCCACAAGTCAAATGAACCCCCTTACTCAGATTCTCTCGTGCAATCAGTTTGGAGTTGTGTGTATTGAAAGAAAATTAATTTTAGATGGTGGCCTGACACATCGAAATCAAATGTCAGGTGGTGACTCTGAACAATCTTTTAAAACACAATTTTATCACTTTTCATAATTGAAATCTTTTTGAGCTTTAAAATCGCTTTTATCTATTTAGAGGGGTTAATAAGGTGGGGGAAAAAGGGTGTGACATACCTGTTATCAATCTGTATTGCAGTAAATATATTAAGTAATAATCTTTCTGAACACAGAAATAGAAAGTTAGTAGAAATTAAATTCCGAAAACAGTAAACTTCTTCAAAATAAATTCTGGAAAAACGTTGTAGGAACAAATCGAGCCCACTGAATACACAGTGTGTCCTTAAGGAAATTATTCCCCTCAAGTACCTGAGGTTTTGGAATATATCCTCCCAGGATAGAATGATTTAACTCACCAGTGTATCGGTACCTAAAACTCTGGTGATCGGCGAAACACTCAATGGTCGTAAAATACACTGGAATATTTTGTGCAGAAGAAGAAGAAGATTCAGAAAATTTCGTAAGTTAATATTCTGGGATTTGAAGGTCTATTTATAGCCAACTTGGTGATGTTTCTGAAGAGGTTTGCAACCTTTCAGAACAATCATGGCTGTTGGAATAGGTGTGACACTCTGAAGAGGTTTGCAACCTTTCAGAACAGTCATAGCTGTTGGAACAGATGTGACACTCTGAAGAGGTTTGCAACCTTTCAGAACAGTCATGACTGTTGGAAATTTTTGCGGGAAATTTAAAACGAATTTAAATTAATCCAGGAAAGAAAAGCGGGCCGGACCGGACTGGGTCGCGGGTCATTGGTTATTTCGGATTGAATTTTCTTTAATTAATTTAATTAAATATTTGAAAAGAATTTTGTCCAAAAAGATTAATCAATCAATCTTTGACAAATCCGAATCCGAGCGAGCGAGCGACGACGGCGCGAGACTTGCCTTCTTACTATATAAACACCAAGACTTACTTTCTTTCTACCAATGGGGGACAAAGTGCATTAGTGAACTCATTCAAAATTTCACTTCCCTCCATTTCTTTCCCACCATTTTCCATTCACCCTTCTTTTGTTATTAAACAAAATCCAACAATCCCCCACATGAATGGGGAATGACTATAAACTTAAAGGAATGCACGGACGTGTGTGTGTTTTACAAGCAAGAATTGATTGTCTCTGGATAAGTAGGTTTCCCATTGAACTTTCCGTAGTGAACTTATATCGGATATACTCGGTCAATCGGTAGATTTGATATCTTTGAACCGTCGAGCTTTGTTGTATACCTAGACAACATAAGTCACACAATCAATCCTTAACCATCTATGGTTCTCACGGTTGTGTTTGTTTCAGCCATGAACACCGCCTGGTTTCATGAGTGCTTAGAGAATGGGCCTTTACTCATTCTCCTTGAAACGGCTTACACTTCACACTTACATAGGTGATTCCTAAACGTGTAATCCTAAAGACACACTATCTGGTCATATCCTANTTGCCGCTTGACTGTCACAATGTATACAAATAGGTGCCAAAGGTTTGGGCCAAAATGGAATATCCTCCAAAAAATTCCGGAGCCATTCAGCTTCTTCACTGGCTTTATCTAAAGCTATGAATTCAGATTCCATTGTAGAACGGGCGATGCACGTTTGTTTGGATGATTTCCAAGACACTACTCCACCCCCAATTGTGAAAACATATCCACTCATGAATTTAACTTCAGATGACACGGTGATCCAATTTACATCACTATATCCCTCGATCACGGAAGGATATTTGTTATAATGCAAAGCATAATTTTGGGTATGTTTCAGATATCCCAAAACTCGTTTCATTGCCATCCAATGTATTTGATTGGGATTACTTGTAAACCGACTCAGTTTGCTAATAGCACATGCTATATCTGGTCACGTACAATTCATGATATACATCAAACTTCCCAATACTCTTGCATATTCCAGTTGTGAGTCACTTTCACCTTCATTCTTTTGAAGTGCATAACTCACGTCAATTGGAGTCTTGGCAATTTTGAAATCTAAATACTTGAACTTGTCAAGTACCTTTTCAATGTAGTGAGACTGTGATAATGCTAGACCTTGTGGAGTCTTGCGAATTCTGATTCCTAAGATCACATCAGCAACTCCTAAGTCTTTCATGTCGAATTTGCTAGACAACATGCGTTTTGTAGCATTTATATCTGTCATATTTTTGCTCATTATCAACATGTCATCAACATATAAACAAACAATGACTTCATGACCTGGAGTGTTTTTAATGTAAACACATTTGTCACACTCGTTGATTTTAAATCCATTTGCCAACATTGTTTGGTCAAATTTTGCATGCCATTGTTTGGGTGCTTGTTTAAGTCCATAAAGCGACTTAACAAGTTTG